CTTCGTGTTCTCTTATATATTCTTCTTCGTCATAGGAAAAGAAGCGGAGAGCTGATGAAGGGCAGAGTGCAGAAGATCACTCAGATGAGAAAGAAGAAGCCACAGAAGAAAGAGTAATTGCTTTGAGGCCTCTAAACATGGAAGACATGAGACAGGCAAAGAATCAGGTAATCCATTTCTTATATTGGGTCCATGAGGCTTAATGCGTAAAACAAAAAAGATCCTAAACCAAATTATAAAAATACTTCTGTTCTCCTTTGATTGGACCATCTGAAGCATTTAGTTCTTTCATTAATTTTTCCTTTGTCCTAGCATTTGATCCCAAAGCTACTCTTTGGCCATCTTGGACAGGAAATTGCTGTTTTTGGTACACAAAATTTCTTGGATGGACTAATATTATAAAGAATTGGTTCTTTGCACTATCATGACATTACAGTATCTCCTTGCTTTTGAAAATGAAATTTCCTGTTTGCTGTTTATTCCACAGAAGTTGTAATTAGCTGTAGCTCTGCATTATTATTAGTGATGATATTGTGGCTGATTGTAGGATTATGTTTTTCTAACACAAAAGTGCAATACGAACCAAGAATTGTTTTTATATAGATTAAGGCATGGAATAATCAAGCACTTGGCCACTTTGTAGTCTTTCTTTTGTGGAACCAAAGAACCTGGAAATCAATACTTAACAAATAATGCATGCGAAGGACTTATTTCCTTCAGTTCTTTTGTTGTATTCAATTTGGCATACACACAGATCTTCATGGATCACTTCTTTTGCTAGGTTGCTGCTAGCTTTGCTTCTGAGGGATCCGTAATGAGTGAGCTGAAGCAGTGGAATGACCTTTATGGAGAAGGAGGTTCTAGAAAGAAGCAGCAGTTATCTTATTTCCTTTAGGTCGTCAAATATATGCATCAAGAAATGATTGTCAGCATTATTGTTCGTGAAAGGGGTGATAACTGTGATCGGTACAACCTTCAGAATCGAAAACTGCATTCTCCTGAATCTAAGGAAGAGATACTCGAACCCTGTGCCAAACTGGTCTCCACTTCTGAGAGGTGTGACATGAATATGCATGAAATGTGCTTGTCAAATGCTTGCTTGTGTTTGTATGTGGATGGTTGCAGAAGGAAGGAGAATTCAGTCTGTTTCTGCTCAGAGCGACGGTTAGCCCATAGCAGTCTTTTAGGATATCAAAGATGATCTCTGCGTGGCAACTGGAATGGCACATGGGCTCGGAAATCTCACAGCAAGTTATGATTTTGTTCAAATCTATAGTGATTCCATGTAATAGTGTATTGTAAATTAGTCTTGTTTACAGTTAATGCTATAGTGTAATTTATCAACTACTTTTCAAGAGTTTCCTGGGACTAATGTATTCTTCATTTAGACACTTTACAGCACAGGTTTGATTTTCTTTTGAAATTTGGGAAGTCATTTTAATATGAATGTAGTTTCTGCCACTTGTTGCCATGCAACTCTTTCTTAAATACTAGTCTTAGGGTATGCGCTTTGCTCGTGTACTCTATATTAATGAATATAAAATTTTAAAATTATATAAATATTATTAACTAAAGTGTTTGAGTCATAAAATATAATTTAAAAAATATAAGCTCTTGAAAATGACGAATATTGGTCCTATTTGGTCAACAAAAATAATTTTGATAGCTTAGTGATCTATTATTTATCCTTCTTTTGTTTTAACTTTGGATGAAAATAATTGTCTAGGTAATATGTATTCTAGATAAGGCCAACTAAAGAAAATAAAATAAAAATTATAATAAATTATGTGGCTAAAAGGCAAATATTCATTGCTGAGTAGAATTTAGCTATGGGTTAGTGATAGATTATCAAAAAATGTCCTATTAGCTATAAGACGAATTTCAAAGCTAATTCCTACTTTCTTAAAATCAAATTCTATAATAAATATTATTTTTTACCAAAAAAAGTCCTTTTCATCCAGTTGACGGAAATAAGCAATACAATAAATTAAGGTATTTCCTTGTAAACAAAGTGTTTTAATTTAGTATTTTCTGATATGTATTATAGGTAAAATTTTAATGATTTTAAAATCCTAAATAAAAGGACTTCTTATTTAATTCAAATAAGGAAAGAATTAAAAATAATAAATATGATTTAATTCAAACACCTAAATATTAGCTTGGAGAATAATCAAATGACTATTTTATCTAAAAAGGCGAACCACATTCGTTAAGAGCCTTCGTACTTTTAATATACTATACATCTTAGAGCTTGAGCCTAAACAAAACGGCTTCAGGACATTCTGTTACACAAGACAGATTTGTCACAGGCTCATTTACCATCACTTTATCAAACAGCTTAATTCGTGCGCGTTGAATTTTGAACTTGCTTCATAACTAGTCTGGAGGGAAGATTTTTTGATAAGCAGCTAACAACAACAACAATGGGTAAAGAGGCTGTTTCCAAATATAAACCCGACATCCTTCCCTCCAAGAACTTCTCACCTTGCTCTTGGGGAGAATCGAACTCACAACCTCTTAGTTGGAAGTGGAAGTTGCTTACCATCAGAGTAGGAGTGACAAACGGGCGTGTCGGGTCGGATATGGTTCGGGTTGAAAACGAGTAATGAAAAAACGAATCAATTATCCGCCCCGACCCATATTTAATACGGATAAAAAACGGGTTAATCGACGGTTATCCATGACTTCTTGTATATGATCACTTTTGGGAGAATTCTTAGTCTCTCTAACTTGAGGAATCCCCAATTTGAGGCTTCACAAATATAAAAGTTAGACCCATTGGTTATCCATTTTCTAAATGGATAATATGGTTCTTATCCATATTTGATCCATTTTTAAAAAATTTATTATCCAACCCATTTTTTAGTGGATAATATGGACGGTTAACTGTTTTCTTTGAACCATTTTGCCACTCCCGCATCAGAGCAACCCCTCTTGTGGAGATAAGTAGCTAAGTTGCAAGCATCTGAGAGATGTTAAGCTTAAATGAGTGACCTAGGGATTACAAGATTCTATAATTGAAGTCTTCTGTTTTCAGGTTTCACTTTAAAACTTCACAAATTTGTTCTTGAAACGTTATTTGCTTTTTCAATTAAGATGGAACGATGCTTTGAATCAAAGAATGATCGAGAATATCAAGGTATATTGTCTCCTGGTTAAATCCAAGCAAAATTGTTGCTATTCAATTCTAAAGTATATGCGCCTCTAGCTTATAATTCAGAGGTTAAAGGAAAGGAAGAAAAGTAAAATCAAATTTTAGGTATAGATTGGATATGTTGAATCATGAGAGTTGAGAAGGAATTTTGGTAATCAAGATTTAGTAAGAGTTCTACCATCCTCCTTTATCCTTCGATCGATGATCTATGGGAGATTGGTTGCAACCACTGAGTTGAGATTAAGAATTGACCTGATTAAATTATTGGTTGACTTCCCTCAAGAAGATCATATGATTTATTGCTTTGTCTATAGAAAGGGGAATTAGAACAGAAGCAAAAAAAAAAAAAAAAAAAAAAAAAAAAAAAAAAAAAAAAAAAAAAAAGAAGAAGAAGAAGAAGGGAGGGGGAAGAGAAAACTCGTTTAACCGTCTGGTAAAGACAGGCAAAACTTGAGCATAACTAATCTTTAGGAGACTGAAATTTGTGAGAAACCTTGGAGTACACCTATGAAATTAATTATCAGTACAAATTGTTGAGTGATGATTTTTATGAGCTCTTGAATGAGTTTACACTTGCATAGTTTTTTTTGTTAAAAGCTCATTAGGATGACGCCGATGTAACTAAAATGAAATTATTAAATATATTATCATTATAAAGAATTACTTTTTTCCCTTTTTTTCAAGTGAATTAAAAAATAAAAATAACTTTTAAAACTTATGTTTTTAAATATATTTGTTATAAAATAAAGACTATAAAGTAAAGACAAGTATAGAGAGAAACTGATATATTATTCGAATTCAAACTGATGTACATAATGAACTGAAATCTCTTCTATTTATAGAAGAAAGGAAGCTGCTACTACAAGCTGCTGTGTAAGCCGCTACTACAAGCTGCAGTGTAAGCTACTATAAGCTGCTGTGTAAGCTGCTACTACAAGCTGCTGTGTAAGCTGCTACAAGCTGCTGTGTAAGCTGTTG